TGGCCTAATGATTGTGCTTTCTGGGGTTAAACACCTTTTTAAAAAGATGAGTAATAGCACTCATCTCCTGAATGACAAAATCATTACAAAGGATGGACAAGTACATAGATATCCAAAACATAAAAAATAAGAATAAAAGCAGGAATACAAAAGTATTCACACAGTTCATAAAAAATTGTAGTAAATACTGAGTATGAAGTGTTCATCAGTTGTTATATTTTACACATCAGATCTGTAAAGGCTGGAGTTTTCAATGAAACATTGATACTTTTTGTTCAGGACTATTTAGGCTCATCCACAAGATACTTCTGAGGGCTCAGACGAATATAATAACATGAATGTTGTTTGAAAAAAAAAAACACCCTCACACTGCTGCCTGATCAAATGAAATAAACATAAAGTTAATTTGAGTGATTTCAAACCATCACAATGGGATTTTGTTTTTCAGAATAAAGGCTAAACGTGATGAGATGAAGACAACCCGACCCAAAATGATCAAAGCCTAAATGACCACAGCACAACCGACGACATCATCAGTGATGTCATCGTAACGTGCAGCTGTGGTTTTTCATCAAAGCGCAGTGGCTCGCTGCCCGGAATGACACGTTCACTGCAGAGATTCATCATTGTTGTTTGATCAAGGGTCACTTCTCAAACATGAGTTTGTTGTTTTGCTAAAGCAAAGAAATTGCAGTTGGGCTCTATTCGTTTTTTTTCTTTTTTCTTTCTGCAAATTTGAAACAAGTGTTTTGGGAGCACCTTACACTGGCAGCTAAAACTAAAATAACAATAAGATAAAACAATCAGTTTGTTAAAATGTGAAAATGTCACTGTTTTGTTCAGCAAACCCAGTTTATACTAGTATTTATTAAAAATAAACCATCAGTGAAAAAACTTTTTCTTATGTCCAACAATGCACTTTCACTGAATATACTGAAACTTTAAAACTGTGTGTTTAATGGGTCAATTGTGTGTATTTATGTCCCTATTTTTTATTATTGTATTTAATAAGTTTAAAAACTTTTCTGTAGTTAATAAGTTTTTCTTTCTGAAATGTACCAAGTAGATATTTAAAACATACTTTACTCAACTTGTAATGCTGCTCAATATATATACACAACACTGTAATAAATAATGGAAACTAACCTGTGGTTGTTGAAGTGTCTTGTGTTGCTTTTTAGCACAAATGATCAATCCTTGTTTATTTCCTATCAGCCTGATGCAAGGCAGCAACAAGATACAGCATGTAGCCATACACTGACCTGAAACCACACTGAGCTGGGGTTTGGTCCAGAACAGTCAGGACACGTGTTGACAAGCGTTCATTACAGAGTCAGAAAACACAACACATTTTTAAAACAGATTAATGTCTTTTCATTGTTTTGGTTCATCATTTATCAGAGATGCACATACTCCCTCATGGCACAAACACTGCTTTGTTTTTTGTATTTTAACTCTCATTGCTCCCTGCCCTGTCACAAAACATGCTTTGAAGATTTTCTGGAAGTTACTTGCTTTAAACAGAAATTGTGCTGTTTTGAATTTAACCAGATGCCATTGCAATTTATTTAACTTTAATAAAAAGTGTGTTTTTGTGCTCCCAAAACACATCTTAATGATTTATCCTGATTGCTTTCTTTTGTAGCTTTTTACTGTAACTGATTATAGGTTGCTTGTGTATGCATTAACCCAAATGTCTACACAGTAAGACAGATATGGTACAAGTGATGAATGGAGAATCCACAGTGCTTTATGGTCCAGGATGAACTGGCCTTTTCACAGTATTGCGCAACTTTTTGCTAACTTTTGTAAAATAGGCGTATTAAGCAAAATGGACATTTTTGAGCTTTATATCATGTTATAATTTTGATCCCTCATCAAAAACATACCCAGAGTGTTGCTTTGACTCAGTCATCCATTTAGCGTTGTGAACACGTGCTGAAGTGGGAGTGTTAGAAATGGTAGGAGGTTCTTAAAGTGACTGAGGTCAATTTCAATGTGTTTAGACTGTGCTGTGAAATCAAAAAAAATTGAAATATATGGTGTTTTCATAATAACTGAAGGCAACATAGTTATTCGATTGTGGTGTGGAATTGAACTGTGCCTGGAAAATACATAATCTCCCCTTTTAATCTGGGAAAATAAGTACAGAACAACTCAGTCTGCCTGCCAATGACTTGATTTAATATAAAAAATAGATTTTAACAAATCACTGGTTGCTTTTTTTAATAGTTTATTTTAAATTGGATTCCAAATCAGAAAAAAATAAGTTTTTATTTAATTGCTGGATGTTGGACCCCTGAGAAAATTAGTTAAATAGATCTGGTTTAAAACTGTTTAACCTATGACACGTGTTTTGGTCGTTGGTTGGAAATCCGAGAAGCTTGGGAAAAACATGCAAACATACAAAAAGGCTCATTGAGAGGTGGCAGCATCGATCACTGCTCCGCTGTGCTGTTCCCTTTAAAAACTTTTTAACAAAATCACATACAATTACTAGCCTGCAGTGTTGTTCCAACTTCTTGTCCTGACATGAAAACTGCTTTTAAGTATTGTCACATCACTGTTGACACTGATATAGTGCAATGCTTTGCAGGATAGTTGCAGAAACAGACTCTTGTGTTTGGGTTTAATAGTTTCATTTTAAAATCAGCCTTAATCATATCTGCATGCTAAACGGCACACGTGTCACATCAGTGAGTGACATTTAAAATGAATATTTCATGCAAAAGGACACAGTCGTCACAAGGGTTATTCTGGTTTGGCAATTCTGCMCGCCTGATTCAAATAATTAAATTACCCAGAATGTTATCAAGTTTATCAGAGGCTTGTCAATCACTCATTCATTTCAGTCAGGTGCGTTGAAGCAGGGAAACATCTAAAACAGAGGTTTACGAAGAACAGCGTTGACGATTTACTGGATTAAGTCCTTCTTTATTCAAAAATTGGACAGCAATCAGCAATTTAAGATGGTATTGCAATCAGAGCAGCATTTACACCTGCCAGATTGTTATCTAATTATTTTCATAAAAGGAGCTCCAGAACCAAAAAATGCTTTCCAAGCCAGGGCAGAATTGATACATCTTGATAACACCAAACCCAAACATGATTTGGAACACATCTCCTCAATCATCTGATAATCCAGACTCTGGGCTTTTGACAGAATGCCACAAACGTCTTCACTGGAAAAATGTTTCTGCGTATCAAATTATTTCTAACACAAACTTACTTTGTTGAAATTATCAACAAGTCAATATCACAACCCATTCTCACTCCCATGTCGTCACATATTGACGCTTTTCCAAAGTTCCCTCTACGTCCGATTTTGACGCGCCGGGTACCCCCGTCACGTCAGTTACTGACGAGATGGGGCGAAATCTGTTGTCATATTTTCAGAAAGTGTAGAAAATGCGCAAAAACTACTGTTTCGAAGCCTGAAATTACCTTTGTTCACTTTAGACATCCTGTCCCTGACCCTAGTACCTAAAATTAACCATTTATAGAAAATGTAGGAAATTCACGTCAACATGTTCCAAAGCCTGAAATTACCTAATRTTCACCATGGACATCCTACCCCTGATCCCAGTACCTAAACTTAACCATTAATCCTGATCCCTCATGTTAACCTCAGACCCCCGACCCAAAGACCCCTGGTGGCGCAACCCGGAAAAGCCGCGGGCGTCAAGGACTGACGCGAGGGGGGTACCCGGCGCGTCAAAATCGGACGTAGAGGGAACCTTGGAAAAGCGTCAATATGTGACGACTTGGGAGTGAGAATGTGTAGAATATCAATGTATATAGATTTTTTTAGAGTAAATATAGGCAACAAATGATTTCTAAATGATTACCTAATAATTACATCTTGGGTTGGTGCTAGCTGCTGCTAACCGCTAACCGGTGATGTGTTGATAAACAGTATAAGATAGCCCCAATTCTAATAAATTTGGGATGGTGTGTAATGGGATGTGTAATAACAGTTTAGTTTGGTAGTCACAATATGCAATTTTTGGCTGAGTCATCGTATAAACCATTTAATTCCTGGCAGTCATACGGTGTGAAATATTTTCAGACTCCTCCTCTATGACCTGCAGTTTTATCCTTCCTAACCACACGTGCCTGTAATCACGAGGGATTATTATTGCTTCAGTGAGACAACACTGAGCTGTTTTTACCACTGAATATGGAAGTGGTTTCTCCACATCTGCAGCTCCTTGATTTATGTCCGTTAGAAGCTTCAAGCGTGTTATGATAAGCTGCTACTTCAGGTGCACATCTGTGGAAAACACCAGTCAAATACTGGCTGCTGTCACAAATATTTGGTTTTAGGCCTAACTAGATTATCTGACCAAATAAAGACTTTATTTGGTTTACACGGATTTTAGCTCTCATCTTAACTCAACATGACACCTGCAGTAGAGATCATAATAAACAGGTCTACTACTGTATAAAATTGAAAAGAACTAGACCAGAACTATTCAACTAGAGGCCCGCAGGCTACATCCAATCATCAGGTGACTTCAATCCGGTCCGCAAATGAGATTTAAAAAAAATTTAAAAACATGTTTTTCTAAAGAACTAATTGGCCTTGAAAAAATCAGGATATCTCACTTATGATGTAAAAAGATTAGAAAACCGGGTGTTCTGTTAGAAAAGTACGCCAGATTTTACTGACAAACACGTTGTTTACAAATCATTTTCCTCGAAGATGTGGGTAAACAGAGCTGCGGCGCTACAGCGAGCAGATAAACTGTTGACATTGTGTTTTCACCTCAGACACCAGCCCTGAACCCACCGTCTCATGACTGCCTTCTGCTGCACATGTGAACACACCAAAGTGAAACCACACACAAACACTACGTTTTGTTTTTGTTCATCCCAAACCTTCTGATGTCAATATGAGCACATGATTCTTTCATATATAAATCCTGCAGCACAACGTTACACCCTCAGCTGTGATCGACCTTTTGATAGATTTTTGTTGGAGAACCAGCAGCTGAATGAAGAAGATGAAACTATTTGTCCTGCTGACGCTCGGGGCTCTGGTGGTGCTCATTAACGGTAAGATCTTCAAAAAACATTAGTCAGACAGAATGGTCCATTTGTTTAGTTACTGTGCTTTTACTGAGAAGTATCATTTTAAACTGTGTACATTTTTTTGTAAGAAGACCTAAACAAACTCTCTGCAAGATGTTCAGTCATATTTTTCTTCACATTTCTGTGAACCACAAATATACAAGAGTTTCATATGAACTAAAATCTGGCTTTGAGACAATTTAAAAGTGAATTCATTGGTGATTATCCACAAAAAATGATTTATTTATTTTGTTTTTTCACTGCTTTTGTGTTTATTTAAAACTGGATGTTATTTTGTTTCAGAATGACTTTAAGTGTTTCAGTTAAAGTGAAATGGAAGGTGATTCATGACAAAAAAGAGGAAACTGAGAGTAATTTCACAAGTTGTTGRATGTGATGAAACATGTTGATAGAAAGATTTCTCAGCATTTGGATAATAGTAAACTGACAATGCAAAGATGTCACTCAGCACTGAAAAAACACAACATGGTGCTTAATGGTTTTGTCTGCTTCAACTGGTGAAATTCATACTTCGACAGGAATGCCACCAATCAGCAGGGACATCAACACCCACTGTCGGTGCCTGCAGGTCGAGTCCAGGATCATCCCTCCGGAGAGTCTGAAGAGCATTAAACTGGTCCCAGAGGGGCCTCACTGTGCCGAAACCGAAGTCATGTGAGTCCATTCAAGACGAAAACTGATTTATTTCACATTGGGACATTTTACGCTAATTTAAATAAATATATTTTTCTGTTATAATTGTTTGATGAGCTAAGCATAAATAAAGCAGCAAAGAATGGCTCTGCTTCTGGGTTTTGATAGGTTTTCATTTATATCTTGGGAGTATAATGACCAAGTTTGAAGCCCAAAATAAAATACCCACCAAGCTTTTGGGCTAAGGCCACATCTTTAAGACACTTTTTCTGAATTTGTAAATAAGCAAACCAAATGTCCAATCTGGATGTCTAAATGTTCAAAGAGCTGTTAGTTAAAGACAGTTTTGAAGTGATGTTCTGTCCAATAGTTATCAATTGTTTGTGCCGTTTGAGCGATGACCTCATCGTCATCATCGTCATCTTTATTAAAGACACACAAATGGGTCCATATACTAAATAAAATAAAATTAAAAAGATATATATCGCAAATATATCAAGTAGAATCAATTAGAATGACCACAGCCAGTTTGCACTTGCCTTTCAAACGTGCTAAATATAGATTCAAAAACAGCAACCACAGTTAGGTTTGATAAATCCCTCTGCAGGTGCTAAGTCATATCCTCCTGTCAGTATTTTGGACATTCTGATAACCATCATAAATTCTACATATTCATGGAGGCAAACATGCTGAATGGATTGAATCTACTATTTTGCTCATTTGTCAGATGTAGCCCCAAATGCACAAGATTAATATGAGCTTCTGTCAAGTTTGTACATGTTTTTATGCACGCAAATGTTTGATAAATCAGACCCCAAATTTGTTAAAAACAACGTCTTCAAGTGTTCAGGGTTTTCAGTCAAATGTTTTTTTCAACTCCCTGTGGAGTAATAATTTCAGCAGCTATAGGAAACAAGAGTAACATGCTTCATGTTGTAACACGCATATTGATGAGAAAACAACAACATAAAAACTGTCGTGCAAAAATGTAGAAGTTTTGCTTTCACATCAGCATGTTGTTTTGAGCAACATTTGATTCATAAACCTGAGAAACTGTTTGAAGCAGGTTCTTCTGCTCTTTTCTCCAAACATCTGTCCTCAATGATGGATGTTATCTCTGATATGATTTTAATCACTGTTAACTATTGGACACAACATCACTATCACTAGTAGTCGTACAAACATTTTAAAACAAATAATGCTCAGTTAGTCATAAAAGTCCTGTAAATTTCACCAGTTATTATACTGGTTTCTTTCTAGTGATTCACATTTTAGAGGTTTTTAATAATGGTTTATGGTTCACCGTTTGTTATTTGAGTTCTGTCTGCTATCTCACAAACTGCTGGTACTGACCCACTTAGAGGCTTGTGAAATATATCATCTCCCACAATAACACTGATAGTTATTTGTGTAAAAGTAGGACGTAACCGTGGGAGTCTCCACTTCCGAATTCACTGGAAAGACTGGCAGTCAAAGCAAATATTTCCTAATACTGGTCTCAGTTTTAATCAGATATTTGTCCCCAGAGGGGTTGTGACAGAGACTGGAACTTCAGACACGGTTGGTTTCACAACTTTGAGTGGGTTCATGGAAATTATACAGTTTGAAACGTCACGCAGTTGCAGAATCAAGGGGGGGAAAATAAAAAAGTTTCATGACTGGAGGCGCTTGTCACAACCTGCTAAACTTCAGTCTCATCTGTGTTCATGTCTCGTCTCAGAGCCGGTTTGATGAGCGGGGAGAAGGTCTGTCTGAACCCTCGGTCTGCCTGGGTGAAGAAACTGGTCCACTTTGTTCTGGAGAAACAGCTCCACAAGCAGAAACCCAAGAACCAGGCGTAGTCATTGTAATCCAAACAATACTTCACTTTATCTGCAACAATGAGCCACTTTGTGTTTTATCATTAATTTTTGAGTTTTTAAAGTTTTTGATCTGTCTAGATATTTGCAAAAAAAAAGGATTGTTTACAGGGTTAGTGCAAATAAAAGTAAGCAAAATAAGGTGTGCTGATGATTGAAACGTCCATATTTCCTTTCATTTAAAGTGCTTACGAGGTGTTTTACTGTACTTTGTAAAGACTGTTGAGAGATTGTATCGTTCGACTGCAAGTACTTTATATGGTAAATATGTAGCTTATGTTCTTGTTTTGTAAGACTTTTATGCTGCAGCATTAAATGTAATTAGTTAGTTGAGACTTAATCATGTGAAAAGGTTCAATGATATATCTAATGTGATGCTTTCAAAATAAATGATGTAAAATTACAAATTAAAATGTGTGGCTTATTGAATTTATTCTTGTGTGAATGCAGTGCCATTTGTAAAGTGCCTTGTACTAAAAAAAAAGCAAAAATTTGTAACATTTAGCTGCAAACAATGTTTGAAAAACTATTGTGGAATTCACATTTTAGCAGGTTTATAAAAGTTAAATCTAAACGTTAAAGCTAAATGCTAAATTTAAATCTAACTATTAAATGTTAACTTTAAATATTAAAGCTAAATGTTAAATATAATCTGTTAAATATATAATGTTCCACTGAAACATTTAGTTAATTTTCAAATTGACACTGCCTGTAATTAGAAGTTCTAAAATAAAAGCTTTACTGTGTTTATAGCAGAATATGTCTCCTAACATGTTTCTAGATATTTATTGTCACAGCAATGTATTGAGTCCTTTTTAATTTAGAAACATTGCCAAGCTTTTTTGTTGTTGTTCTGCGGGGTACAGGCAATGTAAATTTTCATATTAGCTAAATATTTTGTCCATCCAGCATTAAGATTTATCATTTAAACACATAACATGTAGTATTAAGATTTAACATTTAGATGTAACATTTAGATTTAACTTTTTATATTTAGATTTAACATTTACATTTAATATTTAACATTAATATTTAGCATTTAGTTAACATTTAATATTTAGATTTATATTTAGCATTTAGCTTAAATATTTAGTATTTAACTATTTTAAAGCGCTAAAAGCTGACTTTAGAAAATCCACGCTAATTTTTCTAACACTGAAGTAAATGTAAGAAACTTTCACTGTTATTTTTAGCACAAGCTGCTATTGTGTGTCTTTGGGTTATAATTGTGTTTTGATGTATTGACAGGAAGTTCAGCTACATTAAACACAAAGTGTGTTTTGAGTGTTGTGTTCTTATGATACTTGATCGAGGCATGTTTATGGTCGTATTCAGACCTGACTATTTGCTCCTCTTTAAACGAACCAGAGTTCGTTTCCAACG